AGAGTGAGCCAAACGGCTTGACCACTTTGGCACAGAGACCCCCCCCCCCCCTTTTTCCCTTTTCCAACTGAGGCTTTTAACCCACACATAGCATATATCTCCGTTATAATCCTGAGGGTTAAAACGTTTTTTTTTTTTTTTTTTTTTTTTTTTTTTTTTTTTTTTTTTTTTCAAAAAAAAAAAAAAAAAAAACCTATCTCAAACATAAGACCATCGGACAAACATGCCAAGACACTATTCGCCGACTGAAGTATGTTATCAACTATAACCAAGGACGGATCCACGAAATCTGCCATCCACTGTAACCACTTATTACATTGTCTAGCCGTTGTCTGTGTTCAACGAGTCATGTATATCCCTTAGGAAACGATCTGGTTCACAGTGGGTACCCTACTGAAGCGAGGCTCGGACTTTGCCCCCGTGCCGGTGTCTCAGCGAATTCTCACCGCCGGGTTTCTCTTTTTTGTCCTGATCACAGTTTCAACCTACACCGCCAACATGGCCGCCTTCTTGACAACCAAGGTAACCTATCAATGTGTATAAATGTGTATGCTTGCGTGTGTGTTGTTGATGTTGTTGTCCTCGTCGCTGCTGATACTGTTATCTTCATCGTTAATGTTATTATTGTCTAGACGTAGTTATTCTTGCTACTGTTGTTAAATGTAGTAGCTCCCGTGTGGGTTTCGGGGGTACTGTTTGGGGGAGGTGGAAGAAGACAGCAACTGTCCCCCAAGCAAGCATGTTGCAGGAGCTGACTAATTCAGGCTGTTTCCTTCGAATTCAAAGTGCGTCTGCCGGACAGACCAGGAACCAACAATCTGCACACGAATAAGCTAAATGTGCTAAAAGGACGTGCACGCAGAAGTGAAGTTCTGGAATTATAAATTAAGGTCTAAATCAGTGGCTCGCTCTCAACCTTCCTAATGCTGAGACCTTTTTAACACATGTGCTACAATACATGTGCTACAATACATGTGCTACAATACATGTGCTACAATACATGTGCTACAATACATGTGCTACAATACATGTGCAACAATACATGTGCTACAATACATGTGCTACAATACATGTGCTACAATACATGTGCTACAATACATGTGCTACAATACATGTGCTACAATACATGTGCAACAATACATGTGCTACAATACATGTGCAACAATACATGTGCTACAATACATGTGCTACAATACATGTGCTACAATACATGTGCTACAATACATGTGCAACAATACATGTGCTACAATACATGTGCTACAATACATGTGCTACAATACATGTGCAACAATACATGTGCTACAATACATGTGCTACAATACATGTGCTACAATACATGTGCTACAATACATGTGCTACAATACATGTGCTACAATACATGTGCTACAATACATGTGCTACAATACATGTGCTACAATACATGTGCAACAATACATGTGCAACAATACATGTGCTACAATACATGTGCTACAAACTGCCCACAACTACTACTGCCAGAAGTTGTGGATCTGGCCCAACGGAGCTACAATACAAGAGGGTTAGGTGGGGTTGGGGGGGGGGGGGGGTTAGAGTGATGTAAGCATGCAAGTGTGGTATGTAGGAATGAAAGTATATGTAGGAGTCAATGTGTGTAAGTATGTGTGTGAGTGGATGTATGTGAATGTGTATGTGCAATAATGTAAGTATGTGTGTATGTATGGCTGAGCATTTATGTGTGTGTATGTGTGTATGTGTGTGCATGTATGTGTGAATGTATGCGTGTGTGTATGTATGTATGTATGTATGTATGTATGTATGTATGTATGTATGTATGTATGTATGTATGTATGTATGTATGTATGTATGTATGTATGTATGTATGTATGTATGTATGTATGTATGTATGTATGTATGTATGTATGTATGTATGTATGTATGTATGTATGTATGTATGTATGTATGTATGTATGTATGTATGTATGTATGTATGTATGTATGTATGTATGTATGTATGTATGTATGTATGTATGTATGTATGTATGTATGTATGTATGTATGTATGTATGTATGTATGTATGTATGTATGTATGTATGTATGTATGTATGTATGTATGTATGTATGTATGTATGTATGTATGTATGTATGTATGTATGTATGTATGTATGTATGTATGTATGTATGTATGTATGTATGTATGTATGTATGTATGTATGTATGTATGTATGTATGTATGTATGTATGTATGTATGTATGTATGTATGTATGTATGTATGTATGTATGTATGTATGTATGTATGTATGTATGTATGTATGTATGTATGTATGTATGTATGTATGTATGTATGTATGTATGTATGTATGTATGTATGTATGTATGTATGTATGTATGTATGTATGTATGTATGTATGTATGTATGTATGTATGTATGTATGTATGTATGTATGTAGTATGTATGTATGTATGTATGTATGTATGTATGTATGTATGTATGTATGTATGTATGTATGTATGTATGTATGTATGTATGTATGTATGTATGTATGTATGTATGTATGTATGTATGTATGTATGTATGTATGTATGTATGTATGTATGTATGTATGTATGTATGTATGTATGTATGTATGTATGTATGTATGTATGTATGTATGTATGTATGTATGTATGTATGTATGTATGTATGTATGTATGTATGTATGTATGTACATCCACTGTACGATCTTGGGCTTTTTTCTTGTTTGTAACTCGTGCAGGGCTGAATATTTAGCAGAAGAAGTAAAAGGCACAGGTTCGTCAACAAAAAGCTAGACTGGTGAAAGTAATCGACCTGCTTCACGGAAATAAACGTGGCGCAGGTAAACAATTAAAATAAAAAAATAACGAAAAATAATTTCGTAAAGGGTATATGCCTTCGTTAGAACGGCAATAAAAGCCGAGGCACTGGAGAATTTATTTAAGAACTGAAGCGAAAAAAACGTACAGCGATGGTGGAATGTGAAAATACAGAGACAGACAGATTTCGCTGAGATCGTTAACAACAACAAGAACAAGAACAACAACACCAAAAACAAAGACAACAGCAGCAGCAACAGCAGCAACAGCAGCAACAACAACCACACACACACAAAACATTGGCGTTATTCCAGAGGAGTGGCTCCGGTACCCTTACACATTTTCTAAATTATGGACCTCGAGAGACCTAAGTCTTATTTAAGTGTATAATAATGATAATGTAACAGGCGGTGGGATCTGTTTAACGTGTTAATAATTTGGGTTTGGCTACACTTGCAAACTAGAACTGGCAGGTTTGCATATCGGGACTCTCCGGGTGTAGCCAAGTGGGCCGAAAAGTTGATATAAGGCCTAGCGCAGCAGAAAAGAAGAAGAAGAAGAAGAAGAAGAAGAAGAAGAAGAAGAAGAAGAAGAAGAAGAAGAAGAAGAAGAAGAAGAAGAAGAAGAAGAAGAAGAAGAAGAAGAAGAAGAAGAAGAAGAAGAAGAAGAAGAAGAAGAAGAAGAAGAAGAAGAAGAAGAAGAAGAAGAAGAAGAAGAAGAAGAAGAAGAAGAAGAAGAAGAAAAGGAAAAAGCTAAAGCAGAGGAAGGAGAAGGCGCCCGGTGCGGACAATTCCCTATCACCGCTACGCATACATATACATACACACAAACACCTCTCCCCCCCCCCCCCCCCCCATACACACACTCACGCATTTATATAATATTGGCATGTTAAAAGCAAGCATAATTCCTATGATTTCACCCTCTCCCCCTCTCACCTTTCTGAGGGACATCACCCGGTGCGGCCCACACCTTCCTTGCTATGACCATGTCCTAAGCACCACGTTTGTTGTGCGCCTAAAATAGTGTTGTATAGAGAGTATTGCCAACATTTCAGGCAGGGTCTCGGTACCACAGTCGAAATGCAACGCAAGACGATCTGCTGCCAAATCGTCCGCAGCTGAGATCGAACTCGGCATTCACGAAGCGTGTTCGCAACGATTCACGCTTTTAGCCCAATTATTTACCTAGGAAATATGTAAGAGGGTGAGGAGTGCTTGGTTGGACCTAGGGCGTTGGGGATAGGGGGGGGGGGGAAGAGTTCAGTAGCTTGCAATGTTTTTTTGTAAAAAATATGGGAGAGGGGTGAGGTGGTATAAGGCCTTTCAGACCGACCAAAGCAATTTTTGGTCTATGCCGATTAAGTTAGGTTGTGGAGAACTTGAGGCCCCCCCCCCCCCCATTTTGCCTAGAAATTTAGCAAATTCTAAATTATGGTAGCAGTATTACTGAGCATTTAAACAAGGCGGATAACCCTTGTGGTACTCCTATTAAAGTGTAAGGAGCTTGAGAGTCGCACACCCCTAATTTTGTCTTTGTGTCGGCGATGTTTATGAATGGCGACTATCTTTCGTCCACAGAATTTCGGAGAGACCATCGACTCCTTTGAAGCTCTGGCTAAGTCAGAATCTGTCGGCGTCAGTACGGTTAAGGATTCGGCCACAATGGATTTTCTCAGGAAAGGTAACTGCTGTGTGCAACTCTTTTTTGATCTATCGCGCGCGCGCGTGTGTGTGTTCGTGTGCGTGCGTGTGTGTTTGTGTGCGTGTATAGGTGTGGCGTGCACACACAAAATAGGGTAAATAATCAGGTAAATTAAATTAATTATAATAAATAAATACGGAGTTAGAATTTATTTCAGGCATAGCTAAATACGTGAGTGTGCATGCCCGATGCGCCTAAAGGCGTGAAAAGTGATTGTTACCTTGCTTTACTATTGGTTATTGGCGATGATGAACGATGTTTAGAGAATTATGGCCCCTGACAATCCCCCATACGGCTGTCTGTGTTAGAAGTACTTGTCTCTCAAATCAACGCCTCTGCTTCAAAGTGACCGCTCGGTTTTTTTTTATTTTTTTTAAATTGCAAATGCAACTTCGAACAACAATAATTATGTTAAGGACTGAAAGTTGAAATTTGAAAATAGCACAGCTCACCTAAAAACGACAGCCAGAACGACATGTGAAAATGCCACATCGCCACGGTTCACCGTTTGGGTTTAGGTTATTGCAGCAAACATATGGTTAGGTTAGTTGCGTATCCTTTACAGGACGTTGCAGAATCAACCCCAGCAGCCCCTGGTTGTTGTGTGGTTTCTCTAGGCAAATTTACGGCCAGTAGTTTGTCATTGCTTCCTGGACGGTCGGCTTTCTTGATACCACTGTCGAAACCAACGCAAGGCGCATGCCCGGCAACTAGGATCGAACCCGGCACCCCGGCATTACAAAGCGTTCGCATTGACTTAGCCACAGAGCCGACTACCAAACATATAGACTCCTGTAATCTTTTTTTTTTTTTTTTTCAAAGACTGCTTTCCACACGCTTAGGCGTAAGTAAAGTAAAGGACCTTCAGTGGTATTGGGTATATAGGGCTAGACCTATATTGTGTAATCCAAACGGCACTTGCTGCATGATGTGGTCAGCATCGCGCCGGTCGCCTTTAATGCTCAGGACTGCATCTAGTACCCACTAAAGGCTAGGTCGATCTGGGATCAAGGTCATT